ATATCTCTCTCTCTCTCTCTCTCTCTCTCTCTCACTCTCTCTCTCTCTCTCTCTCTCTATTCTGGCGGCGCATCAGCGATCCAATCGACAGACCTCGAATGACCCGCACCGAAAAATCACCGGCAGATTGTTCGCGTCATTGTCCGGTCCCGGCCTAATCGATCCTCCGATGTCTATTGTACGACGATTCACATCGAAAACGTCACCCATTGTCCGATCCCCCCTCCCCCCGATCCCTTCCCGCCGATCCTGCCCAACTCAACACCACCCAGCGGTGTCATAAAGTCGTCAACAGGTCGCTCATTGAGCGTCACGCCCCTGATCCGGTATCGCTCCCGGGAAATTCGCGTTTACCAACGATGAGCGAGGGTTCGACTTCCGTATTCCGCTTAACCAAACCGGACGTTATCTCAAGCAATCGGTAAGCGGGCGGTCACCCCCCCCCCTCCCCGTGCCCCCTCGCCGCTCAATCAACGATCCTACCCCACTTATCCCCTCTCCCACACTATGTACTTAGGGGGCCCCTCGTAAATCGTGAACGGCTCTAATCGCTAACCGCAGGTACTCCGATGACTCTTGGTTGCGACTACTACGCGTATGAAAAAGGGAGCAGCGGACAATGCGGCACGCACCTGACTACTTGCCAACTTCGCTTGGAATAATAATAACGCCAGACATGTCATGAGTCGACTCTCTCATTCTCCATCGATTGTTCACAAATGGTCACTTTGGGCCTTTCTGAAAGACACAAATTATCTCCCTGCATTATACGCTTCTGATGGCCTTCATTACATCGTTACATTAAATCGCGCACTAATTTCATTATCCAAATCTGCAATTAACATTTAATGTGATTGTTATTTAGGACGAGAGCGGGTAACAGGATATTTTATAAAATGATCTTGGCATCTTAAGCGTATTGAGAAATAAGTTATGCGAGCCCTTAATCATCGCATATACCTACGCATATAGACATATATAAGCGAAATGCCCACGATATTATTAAATAATAGATAATCGAAAATATTTATTGAAATACTTATAAGCTTGTGGAAAGGGCTTATTATAAAAGTGTGTCATAATAGTTATAAGCGCCCTGGGATTTCATAAAGCTGAAAATTGTGCAAACGCTGAAAAATAACTTACAAGTCGCTATAATAAATGTCTTTTTTCATAAAACGAATGAAGGCAATTTTTATTTTCCATAATCGTGTCCTCGCGTTCCCATGCCTCGGCACTTGCATACATTGCGCACATAAAAGGGACAAATAAGTAAATGACAAAACAAGCGTTTGCACTTGAGAAACCCAAGTCGCAACATTCAATTTTCGTATAAAACATCGAATCCCGGTCGCAACACCCTGCTATTAAATAAACAAAAAGAAGAACTACAAGAAGAACAAGACGTAGATGACGAAGAAGAAGATGAGGAAGAGGAAGAGGAAGAGGAAGAGGAAGAGGAAGAGAAAGAGGAAGAGGAAGAGGAAGAGGAAGAGGAAGAGGAAGAGGAAGAGGAAGAGGGAAGAGGAAGAAAAAGAAAAGGAAGAAGACGAAGAAGAAGAAGCAGAAGCATAAGAAATACTGGAGGAGGAGGAGGAGGAGGAGGAGGAGGAGGAGGAGGAGGAGGAGGAGGGGGTGGAGGAGGAGGTGGAGTGGGAGAGGTGGAGTAGGTGGAGGTGGAGGTGGAGTAGGTGGAGGTGGAGGTGGAGTAGGTGGAGGTGGAGGTGGAGTAGGTGGAGGTGGAGGTGGAGTAGGTGGAGGTGGAGGTGGAGTAGGTGGAGGTGGAGGTGGAGGTGGAGGTGGAGGTGGAAGTGGAGGAAGAGGAAGAAAAAGCGAAAGTTCACGTTTCATTATTCTGCGCTCGTTGCGTACGACGCCGCCGACGAGAGAACGAGAAAAAAAATAGCGGTGTGCGAGGAAGGACAACAATGGCCGTGCGCCTCGCTCCCGTCGAGTCGGAACGAAGCGGAGACAAACGACAGGAATCATGTCTGGCTAACCGCGAGCGAGAGCTAAATACTCGGGCGGCGCATCGGCTGTCAGCGGTTTCAACCCCCGACCACGCTTTTTACTATTTATCCGTTTGGATGCGAAGAGTTTTCGGGAACCCGGCGTTTTTTGCTGTGCTGACGTCGTCGAGAACATGCGAAATGTTGTATGCGACGGGAGATACGTGGATGC